GATAGGACTATCTGAATTTAAATCCTATATCACTTGTTTACTGTGATCCTGGGCAGGTCAGTTCCTCACTTTCTCCTGTAAAACAGAACAAAATAAAACAAACAAACCAGGACCTTACTTGATAGTACTATTGTGAAGATCAACAAGATGACTTGAATGGCTGAGCATAGCAGTGCACATCTGTAATCCCAGCAACTTGGGAGGCTCCTGCAAGAGGATCATAAATTCAAAGCCAGTCTAAGCAACTCAGCAAGACCCTGTCTCAAAATGAAAAGTAAAAAAGGGTTAGAGATGTAGCTCAGTGATAAAGTGCTCCTGAGTTTAAAAAACAAAACAAAACAGGGGCTGGGATTATGGCTCAGTGGTAGAGCGCTCACCTAGCTCGTGTGAGGCCCTGGGTTCCATCCTCAGCACCACATTAAAAAAATAAATAAATAAAAGTATTGTGTCCAACTACAACTAAAAAATAAATATTTAAAAAAACAAAACAAAAAAAGGATATGAATTAAAGGCAGGCCTATGGACACTTAATTGAATGATAACGCAGATACTTAAATAAACTTCATAATGGACCATAGGGCTGCTTTATTAAGTCAAATTCATGCCAGCTAGTCAGCATGTTCTCCTCTTAGTAGGAGGACCAACAAATCTGTCAGAAGTTTGTTTGTTGGATTTGGAGAAAGAGGATGCAGGGAATTAGATGATCTTTAAGAAAATGGCTCAGGAGTAATAGCACCCTGTCCCACTCAATAACTCTGAAAAGTGCACCTTAAGTTCAGCTTGCCTTCTGCCTGTTCACTAGTAATAAGAACATGAGGACTTGGGGTGTAGCTCAGTGGTAGAGTGTGTGCTTCAGTTCGTCACCAACACTGGGGAAAAAAGGTTGTGTAATTTTAATGTTATTGTCTTTGTATCTTGTCATAACTGCTTCAGTTGTCAGATTACAATATATTTTACAATTAATTAACTCTATCTGAGGTTGGCAGCTTTCTAATACCACTTCAGCCTCACTGGCAATAATTACCATCACTTCAGAAGAATTAACAGAGCAGGTCAGAGGCTGCTTTCTTTATAAGGGCCTGCTTGCAAGATTGGCTCTTGGCTATACTCTAGACACTTGGCACTTGTACTGTTCCCTCCATTTCCTAACTGATAAAGATGGTGGGTCACTGTGCCTAGACTCTTTGTACACACTATATGATACATTTCAAACGTCTGCTTTCCTTCTGTGAATCTGGAATTTTAATAGTTGCTAGGCAGACAATTTCTATATGACCAGACTTAATAAAAACCTTGGGTGCTAAAGTCTTTAATGGATTTATCTGGCATTTTTTTGCTGTTGTAGCAAGGATCAGAGTCGGTGTTTTCCTCATAAGATGGAGAAAACATAAAGAAGCCTGTGCATTGGTTTCTCCAGATACTATCCGTGTCCTTTTCCCTTGCCAATAGACTTGCACGGTAATAAAATTTAGCCATGAGAGCAGCTATATATATGTAGGAATTATTTTTTTGGTACCGGAATTGAACCCAGAGGCACTTAACCACTGAGCCATATCCCCAGTCCCTTTTTGTATTTTATTAGAGACAGGGTCTTGCTGAGTTGCTTACGGCTTTGCTATTACTGAGGCTAGCTTTGAATTTGTGATCCTCCTATCTCAGCCTTCTGAGTCCCTGGGATTACAGGTGTCCGCCACTATGCCTGGCTTGTGTAGGCATTCTTGGGGACCCCTGAGATAATTTATTTTGTCTAGGAGGCTTCTGTAGGTGGCTGATTCCATCAAATATTTGTGAATTCCTCTCATTCTCATCTAGGATCTTAGGAACTTGAGGTTGATTATGTTAGGGATCATTGTTGCTATTTGGTCCTATAATGTGTCTGTTTACTACATTCCCTTACCTTTTTTTTTATTGTATTTGGACACAATACCTTTATTTTATTTATTTTTTTACTGTGGTGCTGAGGATCCAACCCAGCGCCTCACACATGCTAGGCAAGCACTCTACCGCTGAGCCACAACCTCAGCCCCTCCCAACTTTTAAATTTTTATTTTTTTAATTTTTTAGTTGTAGTTATACACAATACTTTTATTTATTTTTATGTGGTGCTGAGGATCAAACCCAGGACCTCGCACATGCTAGGCAAGCGCTCTACCACTGACCCACAATCCCAGCCTCTACATTCCCCTAGTTTAAAATAGTTGATAAGAAGTACCTGGCAATCTTAAGGAAAAAGAAAAAAAATTTTTTTTGATTGAACCCAGGGGCACTTAACTGCTGAGCTACATCCCTAGCCTGTTTTTGTTTTTTATTTAGAGACAGGGTCTCACTGAGTTGCTTAAGGCCTTACTAAGTTGCTGGTTTTGAATTCACAATCCTCCTTGAGTCTCCTGATGAGCTGCTGGGATTACAAATGTGAACCACTGTGCCTCTTTCTTTCTTTCTTTCTTTTTTTTAAAGATAGAAGAAAGAGACAGAGGGGGGGAGGGAGGGAGGGGGGGAAAGAGAGAAAGAGAGAACTTTTTAATATTTATTTTTTTAGTTTTCAGCAGACACAACATTTTTGTTTGTATGTGATGTTGAGGATCGAACCCAGGCCACATGCATGCCTGGTGAGCACGCTACTGTTTGAGCCCCATCCCCAGCCCCGTGCCTCTTTCTTAAGGAAAAAATTCTTGAGGTTCTTAAAAGAATTTCTGGGATAGTAAAGATGAAGACTTAAAAGGGAAATGAGTATTTGTTTACATTTTTCTCTTTTCCTTTCCCTTTCCTTTTTATTTTATTTATTCATTTGTGGGTTTTTATTTGTTTTTATTTTTTGGCAGTAATAGGGACCTCACAAATGCTAGGCAGTACTCTGAGTACATCCCCAACCCTTTTTTATTTTCAGAGAGGATCTTGCTAAGATGTCCAGTTGGCCTCCAACTTGTGTTCCTCCTGTCTTAGTCTCCTAAGTAGCTGGAATTATAGAGGTGTGCCACTATACTTGGCTTCTTTCTTCTATTTTCTTCCAGAGTGATGTCAAAGGACTGAGAGGACTTGGTCCATATAGGGTTTACTTGGGGAAAGTCTCAGTTTGCTGTACCAGACCTGATATCCAAGCTCAGACTAGGTCACACAGGCAGCCCTGACATGCTTTTAGTGCACTTGAGGCATCATAATGGCACATCTTCTATACTTCGACTCTCTACATTCAACAGTTATGTTTACTTTAGTCACCCACTTTAATCCCAGGCTATGGTACCAAGCCTGTCACTATTTGGTGGATTTTTACTCTTTTCTCTTTAATTACTTAATCCACTTGTTCATTCAGAAAACATAGTTCCTACTTTTGATTGGTATGTGCTAGGCTGGGTAAATAAGAAACAGTCCTAATTTGGTTGCTGAGATTACCAGCAACAATTCAGATTTGTATCCTGAGTCTTGTAATCAGACTTCTGCCATGTTCAGATGGCTAAACCGAAGACCCTTGGGCATCTATCCTCTGATTCATGTCTGAGCCTTTTCCTGCTAGGCTGTCCATAAAACTGTCCCCACCATTTCTGATATTCACCTCTAGGATTGGAGCCCACCTCAGACGACACTCTGTGAAGCTTTTTGGACCAAGTTCCTTCAGTTAGTCCTTCCTTTAAGAGAAAGATGAGAGGAGAAAAGTAGATAAGAAAATAAGAGGCTTGGAACAACCAATAAAAAAAAATAAAATTAAATTAAAAAAAATTAAAAAAAAAAAAAAAAGAAAATAAGAGGCTTGGGCTGGGGATGTGGCTCAAGCAGTAGCGCGCTTGCCTGGCATGTGTGCGGTCTGGGTTCGATCCTCAGCACCACATACAAACAAAGATGTTGTGTCCGCCAAAAACTAAAAAATAAATATAAAAAAAATTCTAAAAAAAAATAAATAAATAAGAGGCTTTTCAATACTCTCTGGCATCTTGACATGGGTTGGTTTCTAGACTCCTGCTCTCTGATTTCTAATAGCCTACTAGTTTTGCTCTACTTTCCTGGTTCTCACCTGTCTTCAGTATGTTGCTGAGCAACCTCTATAAATTTTACCCCCGACTCTGCCTTATAACACTTTTTCTGCCTCCAGAAAATCAGTGACCTGTGTTGCCTCTCCTTCCCTGCCCTGTGCCATTACCAATGCAATCCTCAATTCTGGGACATTGAAAGTCCTTGGCAGAGCTGCAGAGGAAGCATCATCCCTTGCCCTTTTATTTCTATACCACCTCTCATGAAGCTTTGATCAGAGTCCTTTCCCCCTGTTCTAAAAGGTCCTCTTTCTTCAGTTATAATACCAGAATTTCTAGGTGTCTTGGCTCTTGATCTGATTGACAGGCTTGGTACCATGGTCTGGGTACGTAGAGACGCGGTTTCACTATGTTACCCATGCTAGTGTCAAACCCCTAGGCTCAAGTGATCCTCCTGCCTCAGCTTCTCAAGTAGCTGGGATTATAGACACAGGCCACTATGCCTAGGTTGATCTAATTTTTATACAGCACTGTGACATTAGGGTCAAGCTGAACCCTCCCTTCTGTCATATTTTGCTTCATTTTAGGCCTAAAGCGATAGAGTTGGCCAACCATGGCCTGAAAACTCTGAAACCTTGACCCAAAATAAATATTTTCTCCTTTAAATTGTTTGTGTTGGGTATTTTGGTTACAGCAACAAAAAGCAGACTAATACAAATCCCCTCCACTGGCCAGCTCTCTCCATCATTGATTTTAATTGCTGAAATGTATTTATGTGTTTCATGTTTCTGATTACTTATTTATCTATTTATTTTTGTATTTTCTTTTATATATCCTGGCATATTGGAAAAATGCTTGGCCTTTCATGAACATTGCCAAGCCTGCCAGAACACTAATTTCATTTGTGTTTACCACAAGTAACTAGCAAATACAGGGTTGAGGCAAAAATCCCCAGGTCTCATTTGCATTTATTTGTAGAGTTCTGAGAAGTTTTATTTCTGCTGCAGAAGCCATTCTCTTTTCCTGAATGTTTTGTATTTAGAACTGATCTATAAGCCAGGATTCAGAATAGCCAAAGTTATACTGTTATGAAAACAAAAGATGGTGACATTCATTCATGTAATAAATCTTTGAGTGCCTACTGTGTCAGGTACTGTTCTAGTCCCTGGCATCAGAGGAATGAAAATAAATATGTTTCTTAAATTAAAAAAAAAATCTGTGATTTCAGTTCCAAGAAACCATAGGGGAATTCCTTTATTCTGTATTAAATTAAAGGTCCAAGCAGATGTGGTAGCATAAGCCTGTAGTTCCAGCTAATTGGAAGGCTGAGGCAAGAGGATTGCTTGAGCCTAGGAGTTTGAGGTTGGCCTGGGCAATATAGTGAGACTCCTGCTTAAAAAAAATAAAAAAATAATTAAAGATCTATTAAAAAAAGAACAATTTTCTAAGATGTTTCTTTTACATCTCTAGATCAAAGCATAGTTTTTCTGACTTTATGTATATTTTTATTTCACTTCATCCTCCATGAGATCTATCCTCTAAATTTTTTTTTTAAATATGTGTGCTGGGGATTGAAACCAGGGCCTCATGCATTCTAGGCAAGAGCTCTAAAATAGAGCTCCAACCCCAACCCATCTCTTAAAAATTTTTAATAAATGGACATGTGTTGAGCTGTGTCAGTTCCTCATACTCTCTTCCATCCGTTGTGCATGCAGTCAGGATAGCCCATAAGCAGATCTTTTACTTTGACAAGTGCTTTGATAACCTCTACGAGTATCAGCATGTCATGTTACCTAGAGGACTTCCCAAACAAGTGGCCAAAACTCATCTATTTTTTTTAATATTTATTTTTAATTGTAGTTGGACACAGTATATTTCACTTATTTATTTTTTTGTGTTGCTGAGGATCTAACCCAGGGTCTCGCACGTGCGAGGTGAGTGCTCTACCACTGAGCCACAACCCCAGCCCCTCATCTTTTTTTTTTAATATTTATTTTTTAGAAGTAGTTGGACACAATACCTTTATTTTGTTTATTTATTTTTACGTGGTGCTGAGGATCGAACCCAAGGCCTCACACGCGCTAGACGAGCACTCTACCGCTGAGCCACAATCCCAGACCCCAAAACCCATCTATTGTCTAAAGAAGAGTGGAGGAGACTTGGTGCTCAGCAGAGTCTAGGTTGGGTTCATTATGTGATTCATGAGCCAGAATTGCATATTCTTCTCTTGAGATGTCCTATTCAAAAAGAGCAACAAAAATGAAGTGTATCTGGGATCATCTAAATCATTTGCAAATTTGATGCGTATAAGTGAACTTTTGGTGAAATTTCAGTGAATACTTGGAAAATGTAAATTATTTATCCATACCTGTGCATGAGCTGTATTCTTCACAGCAGCGGAGCTTGGGTAACTGGTAGTAGGTTACTGTAAAGTATTTAAAATAAAATTCATAGTCAGTTTTTATCAATATATGTGCCTGTTTAACAATACCTGTTTTTTTAAAAAAATATTTATTTTTAGTTGGACACAATAGTTTTGTTTATTTTTATGTGGTGCTGAGGTTCGAACCCAGGGCCTCAAACGTGTCTGGCAAGCACTCTACTGCTGAGCCACAACCCCATAACCCCAGTCCAATACCTGTTATTTTTATTAAAGTTTGTTTCATTAAAAAAGATTTAAAGTATACAATAAGTGAATCTCTTCTTGCTGTTATGGAGTTTACCATGGTGAGAGACAACAAATAAGCATTAAACAATTATAAGTAAATATGATTTAAAATAGTTACAAGTGCCAAGAAGCAAAAGTAAATGGTAGGGCTGGGTATGTACCTCAGTGGCAGAACACTTGCCTAGCATGTGAGGCACTGGGTTTGTTAAAAATAAACAAAGACATGCTGTCCACCTACACACACACACACACACACTCTCTCTCTCTATATTTTTTTTTGGGGGGGGGGTGCTGGGGATTGAACTCAGGAGCATTTGAACACTGACCCACTTCCTCAGCCCTATTTTTTATTTAGAGACAGGGTCTCACTGAGTTGCTTAGCATCTCAAGTTTTTTGCTGAGGTTGGCTTTGAACTCAAGATCCTTCTGTCTTAGCCTCCTAAGTCCCTGGGATTACAGGTGTGCACCATCACTCCCAGCTTAAAAAAAATTTTTTTAATGTAAATGTTGTTGCCAAATTTTGTTATGCAAAATTTATCATAATTTAATTAATTAGTTTGTTACTGTTATTTTTTGTTGTGCTGGGAATTAAACCCAGCGTCTTGTTCATACTGGCAAGCACTCTATCACTGAATTGCACCTTCAGCCCTATCTTAAGAACGGGTATATGGTGTGTGGAGGCATAAAATAGGATCCTGATTTACAAGAGAGACTTTAAGCAAAACTAAAAGATGAATAATAATTGGCCAGCGATACGTGTACATTTCATTGCTGCCTTTCTGGCAGAGGGTGCAAACTGAATGAAGACTCAGAGGTTGAACTGGGAGTGGCAACCCAAGTCTATAATCCTAGCTACTTGGGAGGCTGAGGCAGGAAGATTGCATGTTCAAGGCCAAGCAACTTAGTGTGACCCTGCCTAAAAATAAAAGGGATGGGGATTGGACTGGGGATGCGGCTCAAGCGGTGGCGCGCTTGCCTGGCATGCGTGGGGCCCGGTTCGATCCTTAGCACCACATACAAACAAAGATGTTCCACCAAAAACTAAAAAATAAATATTAAAAATTCTCTCTCTCTCTCTTTCTCTTTCTCTCTCTCTCTCTCTCTCAAAAAAAAGGAGGGGATGGGGATGTAGCTCAGTAATAGAGAACCTTTTGGTTCAATCCCCAGTACCAAAAAAGCAAAACAACAACAACAACAACAAAAAAAAAACCCACATTTTGATTCACTGGATAAAGTTGAAAAAGGCTGAGGTGATTTCAGTTTAGGGAGCTAAGGTAGCACAAGAATAGGCTGGGGAGATGAGCAGGATTTCATTATGGGCAGGTCATGAGAATGGTTTTGGACTTTATCCAAAAAGCAATAATAGTTAATAGCTTTTAGGGAATCAGAGAAGAATTTAAAATATTAATAGCAAAGTAAAATACGATATGGGTTATAGGTAGCATGTAAGTGGAAGTATTTTAAGGTCATTTGAAATACATTTTTAAAAGTTACCTTAAGTATGAATGTTTTTCTAATATTATTTTTCTAGATATAGATATCTTTTCTCAGGACAATAGTCTGTTAGATCTCTGGGGGGAATTTATAATTATTCAAGTATAGAATTATAAGATTTTTGATCCTTTTTTTTTGTACAGTACCGAGGACTGAAACCAAGGTCTCCTGCATGCTAGAAAAGTACACTATCACTGAGCTATATCCCTAGCCCTTTTATTTATTTATTCTTCTGAGACAGGATTCACCAAGTTGCCCAGTCTGGCCTTGAATTTTTAATCATCCTGCCTTAGCCTCCTAAGTAGTTGGGATTACAGGCATGTACCATCATACCCATCTTATTTCTTTCTAAGTATTTAAAAATATAAATTTCATGTGGCTGGGGTTGTGGCTCAGCAGTAGAGTGCTTGCCTAGCATGTGTGGGTCGTTGGGTTCGATACTCAGCACCACATAAAAATAGATTAAAGGTATTGTGTCCAACTACAACTCAAAAACCAAAATATTTTTTTTAAAAATATAAATTTTCCACAAGTTTTGATATATTTTCTCTTTTATTATGCTCAAAACATTTTGTAATCTCCCTTGGGATATCTTTGATCTAGACATGTTTGTAATTTCCAAAAATTTCTGAATTTTTATAGATATTTTTCTGTTGATTTCTTTTCACCTCTAGTTTTATTGAGGTCCAACTGACAAATTATTATAGATCTCTAATTTAATTTTGTTGCAGTCGGAAAATATACTGTTTTATTTCAGTTCTTTTAAGTGTATTGAGATTTGTTTTATTACCCATCATATGTAAGATATAAGTATATCTTGGTGAATTTCCCAACTGTACTTAAAAAGAATGTATATTCTGGTTTTGTGGTGTGGAATTTTTATTTAATTTATTTTATTGGTTCAGGGGGATTGGATCCAGGGGCATTTAACCACTGT